TCTGTTGTGATTCGTCAACCGCTCAGAGATGTCCCGCCCCTTAGTTTATCACGTACAATGTGTTGAGCGCTATATATATATATATGAAAATCAAAAAGCATTAATTGTAACATTGAATTTTTTAAGGAAATGATCCAGTAATGATTACATCTTTTTTTTATGTAACTGTAAGGCTAATATGTTTGCCTCCTGATTACATAATCCCGTCACATGTAATCCGTTACTTCCCCAAGCCTGGATAGAAGTAGGAGGGTAGGACATATGAAGTAAATATTTAAAAGGAGACATATACTGACACACACTGCAGAAGAAAAAAAAAGATGCCGACAGCAGCAAAGAGGGATTGCAAAGACAAGAAGAATAAATGTTTACGGGGGACGGAGCATGGCGTGATATGTTCATTAGCTTTCACCCAGTGGACATCAGAGCACAGCTGAGTTAGCAGGGCAACGTAGCGCTTAGCTTTGTGCAGGAAGCCTGGGGAGACGGAAAGAGACCGGAGACGAGCAGACAGAGTGGAAGAGACACATGCAGAACATGCTCTGCAGGGAAAGAGGCCATCACCAAGCCTCAGGAAGGGTTAGCGCTCAGCGGTTAGGGTTAGCATCTCTGGCTCTACACAAAGCTGGAGCTATGGTTGAAGAAATATGGGCTGTTCCTAACCACTTTTACTGTACGTCAGTGGAAAGGGTCATGGGGTTGAGGAAAGAAGTGAAGGAGAGTTCATCAGGATTGAGGAAAAGACACTAGGAAAAGTCCTTATGATCAGAAGGCAGTAAATATAATTGATCTAAGTAACTACCTCAATTATTATCGTGGACAAAATCCTTCCTGTTCGGCTTTCAAAATAACCTGGTAGTAAAGTCAAGGTCTTAATGTTTTATTTACACATTAAGAAGGCTTAACATAGCCTACATGTTTCTGACATTAAACGTGTGCTCAGTGATTTCTCAGTGAATAATGCAGAGGTTGTGAGTCTGCAGAGTGTGTGAGGATGTTCTTCCTCTGCATCTTCATCAGAAACGCTAATCACTGCGCCTCAGGAAGGGTTAGCGGTTAGCTTTAGCATCTCTGGCTCTACACAAAGCTGGAGCTATGGTTGAAGAAATATGGACCACTGTTACTGTACGTCAGTGGAAAGGGTCATGGGGTTAAGGAAAGAAGTGAAGGAGACACTAGGAAAAGTCATTATGATCAGACGGAGGATGTAATATATACTTTTTGCACTACTTTTTATTTTGTATTTTGTATTTTATTGTATATGTTGCATTGTTGGAGGAGCTCAGGTCAGAATAATTTCATTGCCATTTCTACACTGTAGCTCTGTGCATATGACAATACAACCTTTGAATCTTTGAAACCGAGTCTAATGTGGGGAAACTAGAATCTTCTGTAGATGCTGCAGAGAATTGTTGGACAGCATTATCTCTAAAGGACGGTCCAGTGTATCCTACAAGTGATAATAAAGGAAGCATTGAATCTCCCTTCCTCAGTCAGGAACCTTCCTGAGAGAAAAACCATTCAGTAAACTCTGTGAAACGCTTTTTGATTATTTCACAGTAATCAGAGTAGCATTCATACTTTGCATTTTGGTTAGCATTTTTAGAAATTGTAGTATAAGATGGAAAATGCTTCCTAAACATCATAACTTACATAATCTGCGTTTGTCGGTCATGATTAGTAGTTTCCTTGAAGTGTATCACCCTAGTGTTATCTCCTTTATATTACATTACATATCATTTAGCTGATGCTTTTATGCAAAGCGACGTACACTAAGTGCTAAAACCATAAATAATCAAATTCCGAACAACATGGAAAGTGCAGATATATTCACTTCAAACAAGATCATACCATAGTAAGTGCTGTTGACTGCAATGATGACTTTATTGCCAAGGTACAGTCGAAATAGATGCGTTTTCAGTTTACGGCAGAACATATGCAGAGTTTCTGCCGTCAATGCCTCTCCTATCCTAAACTAAAGGAGACAATAAAGGAAGCTCCTTTCCTATCATTTAGAGCAGCGGTTCCCAACCTGTGGGGACGCATTGCAAGTGGGCCGCCAAATAATTAGCAAAACATTATGATTTGTGTGGAAACATTTAATTATTAAGAATTGTTTTTATTTGAACCTCTTTTCCTTTCTCTTTCTTGATCCTCCTTAGCAACGGTCATTACAGTCCTTGACAGCGGTCTGTTCTACTGGATTTACAACGTGTCACATGTTCTGAACTGACCAATCAGAACTTTATTTAGCCTCCGTATTGTTTATGGTTGAATGTGGGGCGCACATTTTTTTTTGATTCTTAAAGGTAGGGTAGGTAAGAATGGAGAAACCAGCTCGAGTGCGCTAGAATTTGAAAGTACGCAGCCGAAAACAATCTGCCCCTTCCTTCAGACTTCCTTACAGAGCCCCTCCTCCAACACACACAAACGCGCACATGACCAATGAGGGCACGAGATAAGTTTGTGCACGAGATGGAAGGCTGACAGGCAGGTAGGCCATCCAGTTATTTTAGCCGGGCCGGCTCAGATGATTGGTCGTGCTTTTCACAGCGCCACAGCTTCCACAGATGAATTTATTTTATATATTTATTGTCAAAGCATTTCATGTATTCATTGCTATCGGGGTGTTAAGATCATATGGAATATAACAAAAAGTGTTTCTGAAGTGAATTACCTACCCCACCTTTAAGTGGGCCCTGAGTTGAAAAAGGTTGGGAACCGCTGATCTAGAGAATCCAAACAGCTCTTATCATGGCGGGCACTTAGAGACTTCTGGGTCATTTCACTGTGTGAGGAAAACTGTGAGATGTCAACAGTGTGTGTCCTACATGAGTTGATGTCCCAGCTCTAACACACACAGAGTGAGAGATCGACTTACAGCTCCTCTCGTCGGAGGTCTTGGCCGGGACCTCCTCCACACAGTCGGCTGGAAACCATCCCATCTGACCTCTGGCGCTGCCCTCCCAGAACCCCCCCTCTCCGATGCTCAGAACTGGAGGAGAGAGAGAGAGAGAGAAATTAGATCACATGCTATACTCAGTTATCCACTTTTCAAATAGCTATATTGTTGGAAAATCAACGTATTATTCATTGCAATATTGCACAGCTATTTATTTAAGCTAATGATATTTTAATTATTTCAATGATTATTTCATGGCTTCATCGTTCCAACAAATGGAAATATTCAAGATGTCCTCCGCATCCATTTATACACATTTGATCAATATATTGGTTGAAAAAACGTGGCTGAATCGAATGGCTAATGTGTTTTTTAAGTATAACAATTTGCTCACTTCATCATAATTGTCCTGCTGTTATTGTTCTTGATTAACAACCTAGGAGCAATTTGCAATAAAATAAATAAGCAGTACTGTATGTGCGACGGCAGTAATTAGAAATAAGCACAGTTATTATCGTGGACAAAATCCTTCCTGTTGTGTTTTAAAAATAACCTGGTAGTTAAGTAAAGGTCTTAATGTTTTATTTACACATTAAGACGGCTTAACATACATGTTTCTGACATGAAGCGAGTGCTCAGTGATTTCTCAGTGAATTATGCAGAGTGTGTGAGTCTGCAGTGTGTGTGTGTGTGTGTGTGTGTGTGTGTGTGTGTGTGTGTGTGTGTGTGTGTGTGTGTGTGTGTGAGTCCGCAGAGTGTGTGAGGATGTTCTTCCTCTGCAACTTTAGAGTCATTTTCATCAGAAAAGCTAATTTACTGTCAGATTTTCACACACAATTATGAAATAAACAGCGAAATCAGTGGCTCTTATTTGCCTTAAGATTTTAGTATTCATCAGTCATCCTGAAAGCTGAGGTATCTTAATATCTCTGGTTGCTGTCAGTGATCAATGTAACTAAGCACATTTAATAATGTTTCACTGAGTGAGTATTTCAGTGTTATGTACTTTATACTCTCCTCTAAAATATTTACTACAATTATGAATTCCACATTAGAAGCAGTTCATGCATACTAAACTTTGTTGCACTACATTTGTTTAACTGTATGTATTAAATGTTACTTTGAGATAAAATGTATCCAAAATAAATTCTATGTAGGCTATCTAGCAGGCTATAAAGTCGGTACAATTAGCCCTTTAATAACGCTCATTGCACAAATAATCATAATCCAATAACATCATTTAAGTTTTTCTGAAATGGATCGTTCTGCTTATTGAGAACTGTTTCATTTTGATACTTTGAGATTATTTTGATCCTAAGAATTAACTAAACCGTTGAGTGACGGACTTTTACTTTTTCTCTCAGTGTTGTTATCAATGTCACTTCATTCAGTTAACAGACTAACACTGGCTTTATTGTACTTCTGCTATAGATCGCTCAGTCATTAAGAAACCAGGACAACAAATGAAACAGCGTATGACCTTTGACCCTGTCGTTCTTATTTTTGGGGAAAATCTAATAAATAATACTAAACCGTTTAGTGCAGGACTTTTACTTTCAGCAGTTTTTTCTCTCAGTGTTGTTGACAATTTCACTTCATTCAGTTAACATACTAACACTGGCTTTATTGAACTTATTGTAATTGTACCTTACTTGTATACTGTCTATAGCACATGTGTCAAACTCAAGGCCCGGGGGCCAAATCAGGCCCTTGGTGGATTTCATTTCGGCCCGCAGGATCATTTTTAATTACTAATTACGCCGGTATATTGCACCTTCACTCAACCCTGAGGGTCTCCTCAGCTCAGAGCCTGACCCCAAACATTGATGAACTTGCACCCAAGATGAGATGCCAAGTATCTGGCTTGAACTAGCATCACAGAGCAGCACACTGAGTTTCAATGGATGTTTCCTTCTGCACTTTTTCTCTCACGACAACAGGGCATGTTTGGTTTTTCTTTGAGGGAAATAGTTTTTTTTAAGCTGTGGTTGGCCTGTGGAGAAATGTAATCATAAGAAATGACCCCGGAAAAGCTGCAGATAGAGCCATAAGAAATGAATGCAACTGATTATTTAATGTTTAATGTGAGTTTTTATAGGCAATAATTTAAGCTTTGTTAGTTCCAGGTTTAATATGTGCAATAAGTTCATTTCAATAAGTTCTGCAATAAACATTGAACCAGTCCGGCCCTCGACTAGCACCCATTTTTTTATTTTGGCCCACTGTGTATTTGAGTTTGACACCCCTGGTCTATAGTCATCATTATTTTGTTGTATGTATTTATTTTTGTACTTATATTTATATATATTTTAATATTTTATTTGTATGCCCACTTATTTATTAATCTTTTTCTCGTATGGTTGTCTATTCATTGGGGAATACCACCTGGAGGGGGAGGGGGGGGTTTGCAACTTTTTGTCATAAATGTTGGACATACTGTATTTGTGAAAAACTGAAAAATAAAGTTGTAAAAAAAAGAATAATAAAAGAAAGCAGGACAACAAATGAAACAGCGTCTGACCTTTGACCCTGTCGCTCTTGTAGAGGGTTAGTTCTCCCTCGCCCTGGGCGATGTACGGACGGACCACAACGAAATGTCTTCCAGGAACCGCGCTGTACAGCTTCCTCCGGCTGCCCCCCCCCCTCGCCGTGACTGCTGGGACTGAAGGAAAACACCAGCAGTTAGAAAACAAACACAGTCAGAAAGTATCATTCACATTTAAGGGGAAGTGTGATGGAAACTTCTGAAGCAATGGAGACACAGAGGAGAGCAGGAACTTTGATGGCAAACACTGATGGTTTATTTGGAGCTTCGGCCGGAGGATTCACAAGACATGTTCTGAAGATCTCTACCCCAGACCCATGTGTTTAGCTAGTTCTGAGAGAAGAATCAACACTGTGCATAACAGGATAAAACCATAACACCTCTATCAGCTGACGCCAACAGGCAGGAAGAGGGAGACAAAACACTGAGAGCACAGCAGCCCAAGGTTGGGCAGTACAAACTGATAAACTGGGTCAAAGTTATGGGCCCAGGAAAATATTTCCCCAACAGGAACTATAATACAAACACCTGCTTAGTCCTGCAGGCAAGGCACGTTTCGAAACTCATGAAGTCTCAGTGTTGGGTGTTATTCTACAGATTTCTTACGCACACACACACGAACACACACACACACACACACACACACACGCACGCACGCACGCACGCACGCACGCACTCACACACACACACACCACACACACACACACACACACACCACACACACACACACACACACACACACACACACACACACACACACACACACACACACACACACACACACACACACACACACACACACACACACACACACACACACACACACACACAGCAATTATGCAGAGGAGAATCCAGAGGCCAGCAGACACGTGTCTTGCAGGAGTAACTGGGGCAAGATGTGACCCTCAGAGCTGCAAAGGATTCTGGGTAAGAGTCAGGATGCTCTAAAGACCACACAGGGGGGTGGAAGACGTTTTTAAGATGTATATAATACTGATGTAACAAGTACAAGTCCTGCATCCAAAACCGTACTTGTATTGGCATCACAAATACACTTAAAGAACTTAAAGTAAAAGATTCTGTGTATATGTTATTTTAAGTATGAGTACATTGGATGCAGGCTGTATTTACATGTCTGTGTGTAACATTTGATAATATAAAGCTGCATCAGAACTGAAGTGGAGGAACCTGACGTGAGGAAGTAGCGCCACTTAGTGGACAACATCCATAATAACACTTTCCACAGAAGAAGGAAAACAAAGGCCGTTTTTAATCAACAGTTAATTTATATATATATTTTTAGAACAAAACAAAATCAAAACATTGCACAGATAAAATTGCTGGGGGTTTAAAAAAAGAGTGGATATTTTTCATCTGATTCTTTTCGTTTGTTAAAGTTTTTTTTCTGTAAGTGAGCAGCTTATCTGTTTATTTTAGATATGAAACCTGCAAGATGTTGAACTTTAGCTGTTCATAAATACATTTTTAAAAGGTGACTCGAAGCATGAAGCTAAAGGTCTTCACACACGTAAAAAAGTCGATTTAAAGTCGAGCCACAAGGACAGCATTTGAGGTCATTCAGTGGTAAAAAATCCATCTTCAATGTAAGCTTAAATCAGATAGCATAAACCCTCAACAAGTTAAAAACCATTTTCCTCTTTTGGAAACGTTCACACTTAATTTAAGTAATGCATGGAGACAAGAAGAGCCGCAGATGAAGCCACAGCTTGGATACAAAGCATCAGATTAAAGAGGAAGGAGTAAATGGAGAGCAGGAGCGAGGGAAGGAGGTGAGGAAACAGGAAGTGGGTCACCTTGTCCTGCTTCCTCTCCTCAAACCTCACATGCCTTCGGAGAGCTAACCCCATTCAGGAGAGGCACACGTTACAGACAGAGAAAACGCTCAAAACTGCAATCAAAATACTCACTGAGACGAAATACTGTAAACACAGCGGGTTAAAAGAAACTGTGTTTGATGGCTGACAAAAACATGAAGGTAAAACAGATTTAAGGAAGGATTTATACTCATGGAAATATCCAGTAGTGAATATAAAGTACATTTAGTCAAGTACAGATGTGGGAGAAGTACTCAGATCTTGTACTTGAGTAAAAGTAGAAGTACTCAGATCTTGTATTTGAGTAAAAGTAGAAGTACTCAGATCTTGTACTTGAGTAAAAGTAGAAGTACTCAGATCTTGTATTTGAGTAAAAGTAGAAGTACTCAGATCTTGTACTTGAGTAAAAGTAGAAGTACTTAGATCTTGTATTTGAGTAAAAGTACTCAGATGTTGTACTTGAGTAAAAGTAGAAGTACTCAGATCTTGTACTTGAGTAAAAGTAGAAGTACTCAGATCTTGTACTTGAGTAAAAGTAGAAGTACTCAGATCTTGTACTTGAGTAAAAGTACTCAGATGTTGTATTTGAGTAGAAGTACTCAGATCTTGTACTTGAGTAAAAGTAGAAGTACTCAGATCTTGTATTTGAGTAAAAGTACTCAGATGTTGTATTTGAGTAGAAGTACTCAGATCTTGTACTTGAGTAAAAGTGGAAGTACTCAGATCTTGTACTTGAGTAAAAGTAGAAGTACTCAGATCTTGTTCTTGAGTAAAAGTATAAGTACTCAGATTTTGTACTTGATTAAAAGTAGAAGTACTCAGATCGTGTATTTGAGTAAAAGTACTCAGATGTTGTATTTGAGTAGAAGTACTCAGATCTTGTTCTTGAGTAAAAGTAGAAGTACTCAGATCTTGTACTTGAGTAAAAGTAGAAGTACTCAGATCTTGTACTTGAGTAAAAGTAGAAGTACTCAGATCTTGTACTTGAGTAAAAGTAGAAGTACTCAGATCTTGTACTTGAGTAAAAGTACTCAGATGTTGTATTTGAGTAAAAATACTCAGATCTTGTACTTGATTAAAAGTGGAAGTACTCAGATCTAGTACTTGAGTAAAGGAAGAAGTACTCAGATCTTGTACTTGAGTAAAAGTAGAAGTACCAGAGTGTAGGAATACTCTGTTACAGTAAAAGTCCTGCATTCAAAATGTTCCTCAAGTAAAAGTAGAAAAGTATTCTCATCAAAATATAGTTAAAGTAGCGACAGTAAAAGTAGTCATTGTGCAGATTGGTCCATTTCAGAATAATATATCTGATATGTTTTATAATGATTGATCATGAAAGTGTTCTCAAAGCTGGTAAAGGTGCAGCTAGTTTGAATGACTTTGTATACTGCAGGGTAGCTTGTGAATTTACTCCAGGTGGAACTAAAGTCTGATTTAACACTTGATTAGATTTCACATCATTCATCCACATCTGTAAAGTATCTGCATTAAATGTCAAACATTATCCCAAATTGTTTTAATAGAGAATTCTGTAATGTTAATCAAGATAATCTGATCAGCTGTAATTGTGATTGTCTGCCTCATTTTTATGATACTACACGTTTTGGATAACTTTAAAAAAATGATTCTCTCGAATATAAATTAATTACATAGTTTTGATGTGAACATAGTTTTTATCAGCGTTTAGAAGAAGAAGAAGAAGAAGATTGAACTTATTGTCATTACGTAGTACAGGTACTATGTAACGAAACAGTTTCTCTGCATTTGACCCATCCTAGTGTTAGGAGCAGTGGGCTGCCATTATGTACGGCGCCCGGGGATAGGGTGTGCTTGTATTGTGAAATTGTAAAACAAGCTAAGAATTGTCCCCCCATACTGCCTTTTTTACTCATAAAAAGTGTATTGTCCGTGGTCATCCCTCGCTGCTGTGGGTCTTTTCTAAATCTGAAGTGTTGGGATGATGATGTGGGAGAAACACTTCCTAACAAGCCACTTCAGCCATGTTTTCCCTCATGCTTTTTTTTCATTTATTTTTTGGCAATTACCCAGGTGGCTTTGAGGTGCTAATTAGACAGTGTTGATTAAAACCAGCTGTGCATAATTTGGGCTATTATTGGATGATCACCCGAGACGTGGAGGGCGAAGGAAAGAGAGGAAGAGAGATCAGCGTTTCACTGCAGATACAGTACCATCAGCCGCTAATCATGTCATACGTGCACTCACAAAGGAGAGGGGACATGACAGCAATTACACCTGGTTTCAAAAAGCAATCGGCATGTGGATTTGTTTTTTTGCTCAGGATAAACTCATGTTAATTCACACGTAAATGCATGTCAAGTAAAATGCATTGGCCCTGGATCTTTGCCAGGTATAAAGACACAGATAGAGAAGTTAATTTATTAAGTAGTTTTTTACTTTTCATGGAGTAATTGTCAGTGCAATATAAACACTTTTACTTCAGTAAAGGATCTGAAGACTTATCTTATCTGCACCACTGATATTCTGCTATTTGGGAATCATGTACACCCCTAACCTCCAGCATCATATTCAGTGTTTTTTGATGTCCTGTGCTTTCTCTCTTCAGGGGCGAGTGCTCTTCCGTTTTTTTACTCGAAAAAGTCAAATAAGTGTCAGTCTTAAAGGGGACATATTATTCTCATCTTCAGTTTCATATCACTATGTAGTGTCTCTCCTGTGACATGTCTCCATGCTTTAATGTTCAAAAAGCTCTTTATTTTTCTCACACTGCCTGTGCTGCAGCACCTCTTTGGCTTTTTGGGGTTTTCCCTTTCCTGTAGTGTGTTCTAGGTTTTAGCGCATGTTAATGGTCTGCAAAGGCTAAAATCCCTGTGTTCCCTCCAGAGGGAGTTTCTCTCCCACACACTGCCCCCCCCCCCCCTGCCTGAAACGCCTCCATTGGACTCCTGTGTTTACTTCCATAAAATAGTTGACATCACTATGTAATACTCACGCTCCTATTGGCTGGCGCTCCAACACATTGTATGTGATTTGTTGTGACCCTTGACCAAACACAACAGAGCCGGCCAGCTAACCAATCAGAGCAGACTGGGCTCTGGTTTCAGACAGAGGGTGAAAAGAGGTGCTGCAGCACAGGCAGTATGAGAAAAATAAAGAGCTTTTTGAACATTAAAGCATGGAGACATGTCACAGTAGAGACACTAAATACTGATATACACCTGGACATCAGCAGGAGAGGACTCTTTAAAGTAGAAACTCTACATACTGATATACACCTGAACATCAGCAGGAGAGGACTCTTTA